CCATCACTTCGTGCCTGGCCAAAGGCATACGTAGGCTATATAATCAGTGGCGTGACGGAGCAAGATGTAGTGAACACCCCGCCACACCGAGGTCTTACTCAGCCCATATCCATCCCCAACCACCTCCAGAAAACTCCCCACAGCATAAAAACGGAGAGCCGCCAGCAGCTGAATTTCGGGGCTTAGGGGGTAGCTCCGTCAAGTTTGTCTCTACAAAGTTTGACCAACAAGATGTAAAAGCTGCTGAATTTGCTCCCGTGGCAGGCAAAATTTTTGTAGAATTGTATCTTTTGACATGGTAGCTATTCTTACACTATTATAGTCTTTGATTTAGGACAATTATTCGCTGTCTCGCTGCCATAGTTTGACCAAACTCCCCATCACATTCATTCCCTTTAAATAGACTCCTAATTATGTGCTGCCTAATTGTTTGCCAGCCGATGTGCCTTTATAATGGAAAAACTAACCATCAGTAGCCTATAATGACAGTTTTATTCTTTGCATAAAAACACTTCAATTAATTGAACACTGGGTGTATTACAACTTTAGAATTGTAATATTTATTTGGTTCTGCACTTTTTCTTGCCACAGAATTACAATCGTATCGACTGAAATGTGAAGAAGGTTTTTGCACAGTGGTGGCCACTAGCGGAGTGAACTGTGAACACGATAAGGTATAGCTAAGAGTGGTCCAGACTAACCTTACGAACGAATGACTTACAGAAGGTATACTTAACTAAGAACGTTTCGGGAAACACGTATTAACGTAAAGGTACAACTTAAGGTATAACTTACAAACGACGTAGCGTTAAGAAGGTTTCGGGAAATGCAGCCCAGGTTTCTGTATTGAAATCTAATACCCCATATATTCAGGGGTGTAGATTACGCGGGGGATGCGGGGGACGTGTCCCCCCCACTTTTAATATCACGTAAATTCGTCGCCCGCACTTTTTCGGGCAAGTGTGTTCGCATAGAAGTTTTCAAGAGCCAGTGTGAATAAATATAGATTTAAATTCAAAGAGACAGGATAGTCTGTGCATGATCTGATGTTTTATTCGGACCCAGAATAAGGCGAGATGAACATC